TCCCCGCGCTCTCAAGGACAACTTCAGCCGCCCACGCAATCGCCTCAGCAACGTGCTGCTGGACTATTTCCCCCTAAACGACCCGTTCAGCAACCTCAAGCTCTTCGGGGGCCTTCACTGGCGTCCGTCGCAAGGCCTGCACAGCTTCCTCCGCATCCACCTAGGCCGCCCGAACAGTCCCCGCGCTCTCAGGGACAACTTCAGCCGCCCACGCAATCGCCTCAGCAACGTGCTGCTGGCCCTTTCCCTCCTAAGCGACCCGTTCAGCAACCTCAGTCTCAAGCTCTTCGGGGGCCTCTACTGGCGTCCGTCGCAAGGCCTGCACAGCTTCCTCCGCATCCACCTAGGCCGCCCGAACAGTCCCCGCGCTCTCAGGGACAACTTCAGCCGCCTACGCAATCACCTCAGCAACGTGCTGCTGGACTGTTTCCCCCTAAACGACCCGTTCAGGAACCTCAAGCTCTTTGGGGGCCTCCACCGTCGTCCTCCCCGCAGCCTGCACAGCTTCCTCCGCATCCACCTAGGCCGCCTGAACAGTCCACCAAGTCAGCTATACCTACCGCTTCCTCCCCAGCGAAGCCTCCACAAGCACGTGAGGGTAAGTCAAAGACCGGCATCTTTCCTCAAGACGGTGCGGGAACCCGTTCGAAAGGTGGGCAGGCCGCACCTCATGGTGACCAAACTCCTCCACCTAGAACTTCCCCCCCTAAAGTGCCCACCGACGTGAAAGCAACACTAACGACAGCTCCCATGCCGGCGGGATCTGCTACAGCTGTGACAGCGCGAGCTCCTGAAGTCCCCGGTAAGCCAAGCTTCCGCCCGTTACCGAGCAGGCCGACTCCGCAAGAGGGTCATATGGCGTCTTCCCCACGCTTCTGAAGGCAAGTGTTTGGAACCTCCTGACTACCCGGCTCCTTTTCCTTCTTGTGCCTTTCCTTCAGGGTCACAGCCCGAAGCTGCACCTCCGTCCCCCTCCTCAGCCACTGTCTCATCTACGCTGACGCATCCACAGTCCTCACCCCCAAGGCAGGATGCATCACCGCCACTTCGACCACGCGTGGCAGCATCCGGGCCCGCGCAGCCTCCTGCAACTCCGCCTTCTTCTTCTGGGGTAGAATTTTCACCTCCAGAGATCCCCCCTCCTCCATCTGATGGTGACCAAACTCCTCCACCTAGAACTTCTCCTAAAGGCGCTCCCCCTAAAGTGCCCACTGGCGTGAAAGCGGCACTAACGGCAGTTCCCATGCCGGCGGGATCTGCTCCAGCTGTGACAGCGCCAGCTCCTGAAGTCCCCGGTAAGCCTAACATCCACCCGTTGCCGAGGAGGGCGCCTGCATAGTAGGGTCATCTTGCATAATCACCTCTTACTGTCACCCAGCATCAGGTTCCATCGACACCTGGTTTTCCTCTCTGTCGCCTTACTGTGGCGTCTGTTTCTACCAATATGCCTTCAGGTCTGCATGACCTGCCGGCACATGTTTCTCTACCATCAAGTTGCTTTGCTGCAGGCGTGAGTGTACCGTCTCCCCCGATGTTAGGACGTTGGAATGACGATACAACAGGGTTGGCCTTAACCCTGTCCGGAGTTTCGCCGCAAACGCCTTGCTCAGAGGATGGATCTTTATTTGACGAGATCGTCCATGGTTCAAAGCCCAAGGTATGGACTTCCTCTGGGGAAGGGTTCCCCTCAGCAGACAGTTCAGGCGGGGCAGTTAGCGAGGAGGACGACTCGCCTCCTGTCCCAGAGAGTGCGCTCGATTCTGGCGAGGATGGTAATTCAAAAGGCGACCATCCGGCAGAACCGCCCCCGCCATCTCGCCGAGAGGGCGGGCAGAAACAACCGGCGGATTCGTCTTCACCATCAGGGGAGCCGTTTCCACCACCTGGAAGTCAGCCTACACCACCTGGAGAGGACTCCCCCACACCAGAGGGGCTTCCCTTCCCAGAGAGAGAACCACAAAACAAAAAGGACTCGGATAAGGAGGACGAAGCGGAGGACCTCATAAAAAAACTTGAAGAGTTATTGGAGACTGGCGAAAGTGTGGCAGCATCAGTCGAATCCGATTATAGGGACCTGAAGCTCGCCGAATCGGTTTTCACCCGCGGTTCCCAGCTGCTTGAACAGTCCAGTTGGATATTACCTTTCCTGGATGTAGATCATGGCATCTCGGCGAATCTCTTGTCTCTGACCTCTCGATGTGAAGAGGTATGTACAAGCTTGAAAGTGAGCTATGTACGGTGGCAGCAGAAGCTGTGTGGCATGGGCAGTATACTGACGTACTATTCGGAGCAAGTGCATGCAGGCATGCAGGCTAGGGGTCCTCCAGACTCGGGCTTTATGAGCTCTCTACAAGAACTGAACAGCAGTGCAAAGAAGGCACAAGCGCTGTTGGAAACCATGAATTCCTTCACTGGTCCATTTGAAATACCCTTCGGCCTTCGGGGTCTTCTTGGATCCATTAGGAAGCAGGCTGATGCAGCTGCAAATGACGTTGTTTTAGCAGCGACCTTTTGTGCTAAGTCGCACCTGAGCGCACTCAACGAGGGCCGGCCTGCTACGTCAGAGGGCTCAGCACGGGAGGTCGACCCAGCTAATCCTACTCTACTGGCAGCAGCATCCGCCAGCATTCAGTTGAAAGCATTAGGCTTTGCGGGAGATCCACTTCGAGACCTGGAAGACGGGATCAACGATTATCTAGGTCTTTCCAGCATTTTCTGACTCACTTCTCGCCGTATTCGCAGCATAGGCGAGTTGTGCATTGCGGAAGCTGAGTAGTGCCAATGGAAAACGTATCTTCCTTTCTTGCCCGGCTATCACAACCTCATTCTTCCCCTCCACAAGTGAGCAGAGGTAATCTGAGGGACTTGCTGCTCTTGGCTGATATGTTTCATCGTCTTGAACAAGCCATGCGTACGTGCTCTGCCGAAATTTATCCACTGAGGGGTGACTCTTTACTTATTTTGTTATAGCCAGCTGTTTGGCTTTTTTTAACCTAAGGCAGATTATGCATTGACGGCGCCAGAAGCCTGTACTTAGTATTCCGTTGATTCAAGGATTCCTCGGTAGTCAACCAGCTGCTGGGGTAGTACATCTATTTTTTTTGCGTTGCAGTTCGCCCTCGATGGCTAGCGCTGGGCAGAACTGTATAGTGCGCAGTGTTCTTCAGGGCGGCTTGTATGCTTTACCAACGGAGAGCAGGGCAAGACGCCCGATTACTTGTAACTGCCGGGTATTCTCTCTCCTTGCCGCCCTGGTCCAGCTCCCTACCCCTTTCCAACGCCTGGCCAACAGGAGAAAACTGTTTTGATGCTGTTTTCCAACTATTAGCAGAACTCCGTCTAGCTTAGCAGAGGAGCATACTTCCTAGAAGACATTTACTCCGCAGAATAGTGCCCAATTCTAGAAAATATATTCGTAATGTATCTATTGCATCTTACTTTTTATATGTTATATGTGATATTTCTCATTCTCAAGTATAGAGCAGTAAAATGATCACTACGTGTATATTTATCTAAAGAGTGTGCAAATCTTCTATGAAATTGTAGTTTTACCCTTCAAATGCAACTATATGTGGGATTTTTAAACGACTAACTCCCCCAAATGGCTTATTTGGAAGAGCATGCGGACCACAACTGCATGGTCTGCTACGATGCGTGGTTGGCTCACAATCAGCTTCTCCCACGTGCTGCTTCTCAGCAGGCTAGTCAACACAGAACAAGACTGCAAAGAAGAGTATTCAACAAAAGCTTTCGCAAGTCCAGTGGATATCTATGCATCATTGGTAAAACAGCAGAGAGCGGTGCAGGAGGACCCTGTTGCCCCTTCAAATGCGCACGCTCCAAAGGTGACGGCTTCGAAACAATACGCATGCGTATATTTCCGTTGCATTTGTAATGACCAATACGCACGATCGGGCTGATTGTTGGAACTTGTAGACTAACATTTGCGACCACACTTTTTGTAGGTTTATTTATGGTTTGAGTCAGCTATTCAAACCTTCCCGATCGACGAGCACTCGAGCGGACTGCTGTGAAGCTACCTGTGAAGCTAGGGGGGAAAACGAAAAAAATTCACTAACTCGACAGAAGCCTGTTGCAACTGAAGAACATATGTGTTTGGCTGTAGCAGGTTGCCGATGAACAGATTCACCATACAAAGGAATGCTCAAGACTACAGTGGGATGGAACGCTCATGATGTGCCATCAAATTGGCTTACAATCTCTCCCTACCCACCAAATAATTATTCATAACCATAGGTTGTGCAGTCAAGTAGTAACGTTTGTCACCGGTCTCGCAGAGCAGTGGTGCCCTGCCATTGGCTCTGGAGGATGTGGCATCTATTCGGGTGAGTCTTTTTCACCAACGTAAGGCTGACCGGCGATTACTAGCGATTTTTTAAAAAGTCAATTTTAAAAGAGCACCCGCAAAGAAAAGGAATTTGTTTATTTTGTTTGGTGGAGAAATAGTGGCCTACGCCTGGCCATGAGATGCCTTCGCGCACTTTAGTAGAAACAAAGAGCTCACTTCAAAATCCAGCCTCAAAGGTCGTAGGTACTCGAAGTAGTTAGTCGAAAACTGTATCAGTACAGTTTGCCTTGGTTTGTTTTGGCGGTGGTCTCGCAGTGCCGCATTCGCATTCTTGGGAGGACAGAGGTTTTCCAGGAACACAGCGCTACATGCGGCTCGAGAAACTTAAACCGAGGAAAATGCGTTGCCTCTGTCTTGGCGCAGTTGTTCAATATTGAAAATTCAGGCAAAGTTTTCAGTTGGTAATGAATACCTCTAAACGCATTTGCTTATAAAGTTCTTGTTAATTTGAGGGCACCGTTTTGGGCGGCAAAGGGGCATTTTTAATTTGAGAAGTGAAAATAATAGGATCCTGGTACTGGGCAGAGTCCCATCCGGGATGTTCGCATGCTTGCACCCAAACAGAAGATGGGGAAACCTTCATTTGACCCAAAACGTGCAAATTCGTGCAAGATGCCTTTTATGCGTGTTAACATTGATGGCACGCTTCAAGTATCTGGCATTCACCAGCTAACAAAAAAGTGGAAATCATTGGAAGATACGGGCGCACGTCCACTGTTACAGAAAGGCGCTGCGGAATGCCTTGATCAAGAAAGCTATCGCGCGAGAAGATGTTCTCAAGCGACACAAGGTAGGTGTTCTAAATACTTGGGAGCCGCATGTCAAAACCTTTACTAAACAAAATACACACACTGGAGCATCGCCAGCGCCTGCTGCACTATACGGGAAGGAAAGGCCTGAACAGGTCGGCTTGCTAATAAGTCATGAGGATCTAGCAAGTGCCTTAGTCAGGCTCTCAAGTGTTCAAGACTTTCTGCCCCACTCTCTAGTGCTAGGATCCTGGAGGTAATAGGAGCTGCTTCCTGTAACAAATCTTTCTCTGCACACTCTTCTGATGGTGGCTTATCCTCGAGAAGGAGAGTGACAGCCCCAGCAGACCCTTTGGCGCCAGGCCCTGATTCATCACCTGCAGTCTCTATTTCCTTCTGAAGGGCTTCGCTCTACTCGGAGATGCAAAACTTTACTCCAGCAGACAGCTCCGCTAGAGCTCCATATGCCGCTTCACTGGTTGAGTAAGATCTGAAAGCCCAACAGAATTCACCGGAGGCGCATTCACAGCAGGTAAATCTTGACGCAGTGCTATTGATCCTCCCGTAACAGAACTCATGTGCTTTAACAATTCCACATAGTGTGCAGTTAAGAATTTTCAATTGGGGAGTTACCTTCGGTCTTTAGAGTTGCGAGTCCCTGCTTCCAGAAATTCAATTTTAAGCGAAGGTTAGCCCCCCACGTTGGCGACAAGTTATGGTGGAGTCGGGAACAAAGCGCACGACATGTTCTTGCTGCTTATTAATCTTTCTCTGAAGAGGAGATACACGCACTGAATTCAAAATCGAAATGAGTGGCTCGGAGTCTCGAAGGAGATGGAGACCTTGCTTGAGCAGAACTATTCCATAAGACAAAAAGGAGACATCCCACGGTTTGGCGGCGGCCACCTGCTCAGCTTTTGCTTCAAAAGCCTCCGTTCCAACGGAGATTTCCGTCAACTTCTTCCCCAACTCCGTAGTTTCCGCAGCAGGCGGTTCGTCCTCTGCAGAAGAAGGGCTCTCTGGTAAGGGAGGGTCCCATCCACGTGGCGTAGGCAGGCTTCGAGGCGGTGGGGACGGCCCTTCTGATGGCTGAGACAAAACCGCTGGTTGCCGTTAGCCATCTTTCTGGAGATGGCATGAATGGAGGCCGGAATTTCCCTTTTCCCGACGGGTGGTCGTCTTCTGTCAAACCACTACCATCATCTGCGGAATCCAAGGCATCTTCCACCTTCCTAGGACCAGGTGGTGTATTTGGATCACCACTAATTGGTGATATGCTTGACTTCGGATTAGCAGGCTGCGCAGCTGAAGGACCTGCTAGTGCGGTGGGGGAGGGTGCATCGCGAATCTTTGCCTTGGATGCTTTTCCCAGGTGTGTCACACGTGCAAAGGGTTCGTCGCTGGTTGTCAACGAAGGAATTTGCGTTGAGAGGACGACAGGTGAAGCTGTGCCTGCTGACGAGCTGAGCTGTTGCGTCCTCGGTGCGGGAGCAAGAGGTGTAATCGTATCTCGACTTGCTGAGTCGTCACCCAGTGATAGGTAACGCAAAGGAGCTGGTGGTGAAGGTAAAGTCGAAGGGTGTAAAGAAAGACCATCACCTGGCGACTTTGGACTTTCCGGAGGGAAATGTGATGAATGTGTTTGTGAGCCCTCCAGCGAAGGAATAGCTGGAGGTTGCACTGCATGACAACCAGTAGTTGATTTTTGTGGGGGGTTGATTGGTGCAGGCCGGGGCATCCCAGTGCTTGCGGTCACTGGTGGCTTTATGCCGTGAGGCTGGCGCAGCGCCTCTTGAAGTTGCCGACTCAAGCTATCCGATTGAGGAAGCAAACGACTACGTGGAGGACGGGGAACGCCAAGAAAAAGGAAAGGGGATTCAGGACCCACAGAAAGAGAGCTCCGACGGACGCGGCCACCTCCAGATGCCTGATGCCGTAGGCTGCCACAATCACACTCGTATAAAGGCCTAGGAGCCAAAGAACGCCCCATTGTCGGAGGAAGGCGCACCGAAGTTACAGGTTGACGGTAAATTCGATTAGGTAGCGCGGCTCCTCCCTCCCCGTAGAGATCCATGAATCCTCAGCATTGTGAAGCTGCTGCTTTTGTCAGGGCAGCATGCAGCCTTTCCTGAGCACATCGTAACTCACGCACCCGTTCTTTCAACCCGAAGAAAGGCATCGCGGTCTGGAAATGATCTAGCTCTTCGAGTCCCATTCTACCTTCCTCTTTACATTGGTTTGATGCGGGACTCTGTGTCTCGAGACTGATACTGGAAAGCATTCCAGAAGCGAGTGCCTCCTGAAACAGTCGTCTCACCTGAAGCAGATCTTCGCCACAAGGCTCTTGATAAGTTGTCTTGCGTGCCGCACGAACAACATCCCGTTCAGCGAGATTACGCGCAGCACGTACAGTGATCCTACTACTACTCTTAAGGGCTCTCACCCTCAGCATCAGGGCAGCTCCTTCTTGCCTCTGGCCCCAACCGGAAGCTGCTATTCTTTCTAGTTTTTCTTGAAGCTGCACTATCAGATGTTGTAGAGACGATTCAGTGTTTTGAATGAGGATGTGTGTAAGGCCCCATTCGCGTCGTAGGGAGGCACTCATGAGCAGTTGTGTCGCCAGTAATTGGGCAGCCAGCGTCTCCAGCGACATTTCCACACCCTGTCTGCATCATGACAGCCGATGCGCTTAGTTTCATCAACATTCTCTTCGCTAAGTCAATCAGGCTGACATTATCCGCAGTAAGACACTGTTTGTCTTCAGGTGTGGTGTGGTGCGCTGAGTTGAGAATAAGAAGCGAACTGTGGGCCACGAGCCTCTTACTGCCGTTAACGTTTCGCGCGAGCCTCTTCCTCCCGCTGCAAGGCGCCTATTCCGATCCGATCTGATGAAGACGGGCCACTATGTACTTTTAAGTGCCAAATACAACGGAAGATGAGGAGCGACGCAGCCGTTAGAGCGGAGATCGCTGCTGCATCTGGGTAAGCCAAACTGACGGGAGGTAACCGGCACGCATGAGGCGCTCCCACCCACGGATGAGCAAGGAAAGTGTCCACAACATCCGCATTGAGCTCGCATTGGGTGGCTTCCAAAGACAGCACCCCATGTAGAGCTGCCGAACCGTTTGGCACATCACCAACACAGGGAGCAGGCGATGTAGGCGCCCACATGGTTAGTCGCGCACTTTGTCAGAACAAAGCTGGTTCATGCTTGAGTTTTTTGGCATGTTTTTGCAGCGAGTGAGTGGAGTATTCTTTGAGCCTGCCCACCTGGACTGGAACGGCGTTGCAAAGTAGGGCTCCAAGTGAGACTGAAACAGAACTGGCTAGTGCTATGACCTTCCCGCCCAATGCAGACTTCCTATGAAAGCCAAACCACCACAGCATATTAGTGAAATGGGATTTTCGATCCTCCAGAGAGAATGGCCGCGGGTTGGCTGACGAATGCCGAGGAGGTGATCGGTAGCGGGCTGGCATCGCACAGGCCGGGAGCGCACTCCTGAAATGAAATTGTCCTTCTATCTCAAGCCAGGCAGCCCTTCGTGGAACTAACATTTTAAAAGAACCTTTTGGATTTCGGCAGGCATTAGAGTCCTGGATTGCTATAGATAGCTTCGGAGAGATTGGATCTGTAGTCCCGTGCCGCCTCGTGCAGTAGCGTGCTCTGTTTAGCAAGGCGTGCCTGAAGTTGGAAAAAGCCCTTCTACTCGCGTGCAGGCTGCCAAATGAGGGACAAGTTAGCATTTAAAGGTTCTCTACAGTGTTAGTCGATGCGTGAAAAGGGAAATTGGGTACATATGCATGTGGGGTCGTGTAGAGGTGTAGCACGGCCTCTCTCTGTAGTTAGAAGCAGCGATTGTACTTGCTTGGAGGCTGCGTCCTAAGGGACAAATAGGCGTTTAACAATTGTCTTCAGTGTTAGTGCATGAGTCAAAGGGGGTGTAATTGCGCATTCATTGGGGGCTGCCTTGCAGCGCCCAATGAATGTGGCGAGGTGACTTGCAACTCATGGCAGGTTGTGTCCTCTCCCTATAATCAACAAGCCCTTGGTCCGCTGTGGGTGCGACGCCTGGGGACTGGAGGGGGAACTAGCACCTCCTGAAGAACACTTGCCGCATGTATTTGGCCCTAGTGCAGCTTGCCACGGTCTTCAGCTAAAATCGGACCCTCACTACACATTGAAGCGCTGCGTGGTTCGCCAGGGCAAGTGAGAGCACCGAATCCCACCCTGACAGCCAGATGGCCTGCGGCAGAGCACTGATTATTGACAAATTCGCAATGCAGAAGCGAGGAAATATGACCCTATTGATACTCTCCCTTTTCTGCTCTCGATCAGTGGAGATTGATCAGCGGGGTTACCCCCAACGTGGAGAAGCTGTCACACCATCCCCTGAACTCCCCAGTAAAATGGCAACAAGGTCATTGTGAGAAGGAACACTGAGAGGGACCGAGAGCCGGACAACGTTTATACATGCTCAGGCGCTTGGTCCTTAGACTACTCTGAGAGGCCACCGAAACCAACAGTATTGAGTTAAATGGCTGGGAGATCGGCAATACGAGTGGATTTGGAGGATTGATTGTGCGAACAAATTCCTCATGAGCACCTACATGCTCTCCTCGATTCGACAGGGAAGAATGCAAGCTTGGGCATGAGCAGCGCAGCTTCAAGTTGAACAGCGCTCAGCAATTTGTATTCACTGGTGCTCTTTCACGACTAGAGAGGCTCTTGCATCCTTCGGTTCATGCCCTTCCCTGAGCCACCGACTTTTTCGCTGTGGCCTGCGCACTCTATCCATGTCTCTAGTAGCGTCATTCTCATTTGCTGCCCCACCCTCTGGGGCCTGCCGGACATCCCCCAGCTCGCGCCCACTACGCCAACTGAGGGGTGTTCTCGGGAATTCTCATCTTATTGTTAGCTAAATAGATCAACAGCAACATTATGAACGGCAAGTGGTGCATCACCTGCAGCTGGACCTGTTGCAGGTGTTGCTGCCGGCGTCCAGTAGCCCCAGAAAAGCGGGCGCTCCAGCAGAAGCGGCAGCCGAAGAAATAGCAACAAGAACACCTGCAACATTAGCAACAATACCAATAGAAGCACCAGCAGTTCCAGCAACAGCAGCAGAAGCGCCAGGGATCGGTACGGTTTTCGTCCTTCAACGCTGGCTAGTTGTAGCTGCGGCAGCAGGGGTTGAAGCTTCCGACCAGCATGTGTTCTGTTGCGGGACGTAGTTTGCTGGAGTGCTTCGCGATGCGGCAACGAAGCAAAAACGGCAACGCCATCCGTGGCTGTCTGCCACAGCAGTTGAAGCAGCAGCCTGCTGCTGCTTCAGCTATCTGTTTTCCCGGCGCTGTTGCATCTGCGCCACAGTAACACGAGCATCATGCGTTGCTGCTCCGCGCCACCAGCAAGAAGACGCAGCGAAATGGCGTGCAGCAGCAGCTTGGAGACCAAGAAGGAAGCAACAGCAGAAAGGTAAGCAGCAACGAGCTATGCAAAAGCAAGAGAATGAGCAGCAAGGTACGCAGCAGGAAGAAATGCAGTAAATGGGGCAGCAGAAACAACACCCGCTACAGCAAGTGCGGCCAGAGCCTTTCCCTCGGTCCACCCATCCTTTATTAACAAGCAAACAGGCAGAGGCGCGCATTGGTAAGGGCGGTGGGAGGGGGCCGGGAGGAGAGCAGATGCAGGATGGTCTGTCCGAAGTTGGCGCATGCACTAAAATTTGCGTGCAGGCTAGGCCAAGTACATGTTCAACAAAGTCCTGCAGTACTAGTGCATGCAGGGGAGGAGGCTTTTCCCTGCTTGCACTTAAGATTGCTTCAGAGCCCTTGTTGCAGCATGGACCTGCAACGCATTCCAGGCCGCTCCCTTCCGCAGCAGGCCCCGGCCCCTTTGGCCACTATGCCCAGGCACGCGTGGGGGATGGGCGGGGGTGGGTAACCCAGTTTCTTTTTGGGGCATCTTATCATCAGCTTTGGACTCTACTGCAGCTCACGGCGGCCCGCTGCTAAAATTGACGCCCTCGCTATAGCGCACGCAAAGTAACACCTTCAAGAAATTTGTTTTTGCCCACCGTACACTGCCAGGCATTTATTTTCTTGTCACTTTGTCTAAACTGTGCTGGAAAATGGGTCCTCTGTAGCTGCAGCTTCCTCTGCAACTGAACCCGTCGCGGTCTTTTTTAACGGAAAATGCGTTGACGAATGGCGGATGCACTAGGTGTCACTGCGCAACTAAAGTGTACCACACATTGCAACAGGACTATAAGGAGGCAGAAGAAGTTTGCGAAACAATCTGTAGAGGAGACTCACCCGCTACTCGGTGTTCGCAGTTTCTACGAAGCAGGTCGGCTTCAGTCAGGCTCGGCCGACGCCTGTTGGCGCAGGACGTGATGGCAAATGCCTGTTTGCCTTTTGAACTGGAACCTCAAATAAAAAATAACTTGTTTCTTTTTGCTACGAAGCCATTCATGCTGTGATTTAGCTCCTTTAGCCCGGATCAACTACAGGAAGCGCCAACGCATCTTTCCCCACTTCGGACCTGGGTGGGGCTAGAGAAGTTCCGGCCGTCTTGAGTCCCACCCACAGGCTTCACGCGTGGGGGAGCAAAAACTTTCCATCACTTTATTGAACTTGCTTACTTTAATAAGTATACAGCAGATGCCTCACTCCAGCATTTCCCGCTGGACATAGCCTCACTGCCGCCGGGCAACGTGAACCGCTGGGGGCCCCGCGGGCTCCAACTGCACAAGATGACTCCGTAATTTGTTCGGAAAATGGTTGAAACTGCAGCTTTAACTCAGCCTGTATGGAGTGAAGTCCTCCCGAAAATCAAAGGTAGAACACGCACCTGTGCACACGCAGCCCGCTGAACTTCCGCAACTCGCCCGGGTACGAAGCAGGGCTAGGGGGAGAGATGGTTCCCTCTACATTTTCTATCATTACTTGGACATGCTTGTTTAGCGTTTTGGCGCCCTCACGTGTCGCCGCCTCCAGTACTATTCCCTCTGTTCAGCCCCTCGGCACCTCCAGCGGCCCCCGCATGACGCCGGGGGCCGCAAGTAGTAATGGCTTCAGCCTTCCCGTTACCCCTAATGGAAGTGATGCAACAGAAGCAGGAACCGCTGTCGTAAAAACAGGAAGGCCAGAACAAGCAGCCACAGCCCCGAGAGCAGCTTTGTCCACACGCGCGCCAGGCGACCACTTCCGGCGTCGTCGCGAGGACGAAGATATGAGCATTTTACCTGATCCAGACCCTCCGACGCTGTGGCTAAACTCTCTGGACTCCCTTGGGTGCGTTAAACAAAGCACAGCTGTACCTGGAACGGGGGTGTGCAATGGCCCAGAGGCCTGGGAACGAGCGACTGATGGGTCACGGGGGGTTTACTTCGTGGCCGTGGGCGACACAGGACTGCCGTCTACTGCTTTGAGCAAGGTGAACTGATATGAACTGGAGCCCGGTGTTGAATTAGCTGTAAGCAGATTCTCTGAGTGGTGTGATGAATGCAACCATTTACATTTCTTCTCTTGCTCACTGACTGCAGAGAAGATGAATAGTCTGCTTTGCCACACAAATAATTTTGGGAAGGATGTGTGTACGTATCTTTTCTATTGTGTTTGCAAAATTTTACAGTCCTTTATTTGGGATGTCTGCTGATGTAATTCCGTTGGGTTTTTGTTAGGTGGTGGCGACGATGGCAGAAGTTTGTTCCGTCGTTCCAGTTTCTTTTGTTTCATTACTGGGAGACAACTTTTACCCCACGGGAGTCAGCAGTGTAGATGACCCGAAATTTGTTTCCCATTTCGAAGTCCCGTTTGGGCATCCTGCCTTACAACGAGTGCGTTGCGCTGCTGAGTCCCCCGGACGCACAAGCTTGCCTTTCGGGACTAGTATACGTACTATACGTGCACAATGCACGTAATGCATGTAATAGTGATGCAAATACTACTTATGTCATTTATGGGACTTGGACATTATCAGCGTTCTTTCTGGTGCTCCCGAAGGGTTTCTCAAGCGTTGATTACGCCAATGGGGACGTTTGCACCTTTCACATTCTGCTGGTTGTACATGGCCAACTATTTGCTTTTCGACACATTGTGCGTGTTTTTATCCGCCTAGCAGTGCCCGCATGCGTCGTGGTGGTTCAACAGGTGGCATTCTTCCCCGTTTTGGGGAATCACGATTACCAACTGTCCCCCCATGCGCAAATTCAACGCTACTTTTCATCTTGTGCGACGTGCAAGCAACCACAAGACTGGAACTGTAAGAATGAGATGATTTACTCCAGCTTGGTTTGACAGGGGAATCCGTGTTTACCTGCTTCTGCTAATTTGTTTCTTTGCGTTCCTTCAGTTTTTCTCACGAGCGGGTTGGGCGTGGTGAGTGTGCTGCAGCTGCTCAAGTGCGCTGGCGGTTTCCGAATCCATGGTACTTTTCACGATTTGTTTACAAGAATGTGCATCGTGACCTTTCCGCATTTCCTCTTGTCTCGAACATCGGACAGCTGCAACAAGTGAGTCTCCTTTGCTCAGATTATACCACGGAGACTGTGCGAGGACGCTCAGGAGTTTCGGGATTTGCACCCTAGCAACTTGACCAAGTTGCTAGAGCGCGGGGGTCGAGTGCACGAAACATTTTGCTGCATTGTCGCCAGACGACGAGGGCATTGCATCTTGCGGTGTAATATGCTGCTCTTTAGTGCGCTGCTCTTTTTTCTGTGTGGCATTTACTTTCTACACTTTGCAGCTGCAGACAGCAGCGACGGGAGTCGACGAGGGAACTTATTCTCTTGGCAATTCTGTGACTGTCGTAAATATCCATTTGGATTCGAACATCTTGTTGTCGTCACATGCCATTGCTCGCAAGCAGCTGGCCTTTCTAGAGGCTGTCTTACGATCTGGTGCGACACCAATATCCAGTTATCTTGATCCCAATGTATACTGCCTGTGGACGAGGTAGATAGGATTAACTTACTAAGCTAAGACGATCTGGGTGATTTGCAAAACTAGGCTAATGCAGATCCCTTTGCAGTCATCTGTTTCGTTTTAAGGGGAGTAGCTCACGTGCCCCCTCTTGAGGTTTGAGTAAGGCGTCCTAGGCAAAATCTTTGTTCGTTTGTTCCCCTGTTGCAGCTGCGGCAGAAGCCGACTGGATATTTGTTCATCAACACCATCCTTTGTTTACTGACGGGACTCTCCGTAGAAATGTTAAGTGGTTCCAGGACTTGTTGTTGCCGTTGTATCTGCGGTACGGGGTGGATGCGATCTTTGCTGGGCATGAGCATTTGCTATCGCATTTCGAGGTATGCGACAGCTGAGTTGGTGTTAGCATTTAGCAGTCGGCCGGTGTTGGCTGCGCGCTGTCGTATTGCATAAGCATGTCAACAGGACTAGCATCAGCAGCACTTACGTTTGTTTGTCTTTGGGTTGCAGCTTGACGGGCCTGACAGCGTGGGTGGCACTATTGCTCAAGTTATCAGCGGGTCGGGGTCGAAGTTGCACCGTTCTTTCCCTACTTGTTGCACTCCGAGTTTACAGAAAAAGTGTAAAGGGCATCAGGAACTGTGCCGCAGTTCAAATTGCGCGTTTCAGCGGACAACGAGTGGCTTTGCTCTCGTTAATTTGACGGCCAAGGAGATGAGGGTGTTGTACGTTGAAGCAAGCACGGGAGAAGTATTACACCATACGGTGCGCCGCTCAAAGAAGAACATCCGAATGCAGAAGACAGCAAAATATGTT